ATATAATATAAATTATATTATTTAATAATTAATTTTTTAATTTATTAAGAATCATAATATTATTTTAAAATTTACAAAAAATCTAAGAATTGATCCATAAAATTGGCAGTCATAAAGGTCAAATTTCTCCAGGAGTTTTAAGATTTTCGATTGAAGTAAATCTCTGATTGGGGCTCTGGGGTTTGGCCCCGCAGTAGACGTTGCTCTCGGGGACATTACTTATACAGTGCTCTTGGCGGAGGAGAAAGGTGGCCTTGGTGCTCGAAGAGGCTCTGTAGAGTTTGGAGAAGAAGGCCGTTTTGGAGCTCTGGGAAAGGACGGGGAGGGGCATTTTGGCGGGATTAATTTATGGGAGAATTGGAGGAGTGGTGCGTTTTAGCCGTGCCACCTCCCCCACGAATGCTTAAGTAGTTTGAAAGGATGACGTAGCGAAATTTGGCGTACGGCCAAAGCAATAATCTTTGTAATCTGTGTAGAAAGTTCGAGCTCCCACATGATACATGCTGTCTACTATCATAATATCTGATATCTAACGTTTAGAGCATGAAATCAAGCAATAATAAAAAATTTAAACAGCTTATATCACTCATGTTCGAAAAAATCAGATTAAATCACTACCTAATTTTTTCTAAAAATAAAATTACAAATCATTTTAATAGTCTATGAAAGAGAGGGGAAATTATCTTGAAAATTCAAACATGAATTATTCATCTGAAAGGACAAGTGACAAGTCACTTTTGTCCCGATCGTGCGAAACAAAACACTCGACCTGAACCTGGCCTACGGGCTTAGTAGCGTTAGTTACATTTGAAAGTTTATTTTTCTCTCCTCTAAAAGCAACGGTTCTACCGGTCCCATAGTAAAATGTTTAAAAAAAAAAAAAATCACTCCACCTAATTCAAAGGGAATCCCAACTAAATCCAATCTCACTTTACCCTACAAAAATCTCTTGCATTCCAAAGGATCATCTTGTTTTTTCTTTTCACTCACGTCCATTAAAAAGGTGGAATTCCCAAATTCACATTTAGACAGGTTATTTTTTTTTAATAGAGGGATAAATAATTTTTTAAATTATAAATTAAGGTAAATGATTTATTTTTTAT